TCATTGGTCTTGCAAAATTCTATCCTGCAATCTCCTCTAACATTTCTATTCCTAAGGCCATATTTTCTCATTACCTGTCCGCCCTCTTTTTTTCCAAGTTTCGCATTCCAATTACCAGTAGTTCAGTGTATCTTAATTGCATACTCGATCAATTTCAGACTGAAGAAGCTAATAAAATTCTTCAGTTTAATCATCACTGGCTTTAGTGGTTAGTGCATAAATTTAAATAACAGTATTAACTGGTCTTCCTTGTAGGTGTATTGATACTATCCTATTACAGGCAGCATTATACATCAATATATTGAAATGTTCTTTTTGACAGTGAATGTGACACCATTCCTTTGTAATATGATGTTCCTGGTATGGTAAACCATATGGTTGTCAGATTCAAAATGGCTAATACCAGTCCATTTTAGCTCATTAATTCCTAGAATATCATTCTTTATGTGTTTCATTCCACATTCCAATTATTAATGGATGTTTGCAGCTGTTTCTTAATATTTTAATTGGGCCCCGTCAGCTAATGTTAGTCCTGAAAGCATTATTTCATTCATGTCATTAAGGTCAACTCTACTTTGAGGAGGTGCCACTTCCCCAGTCGTATTTTGAGTGTCTTCCAACCTGAGGGACTGTTCATAAGGGACTGTATCTGACAATGTTCTGCTGCTATTCATAATGTTTTTTCTTCTGGTTCTATAGCTGACAGTGTTCTGCTGTTATTTATAAGGTTTTAAGTGTGTCTGTCAGTTTGTCATACTGTAGTGGCTTGTGAGTTGCTGTGATTCTGAAAGCTATGCCACCAGTATTTTAAATACCATCAGGGTCACCCACGGTGGACAGATTTCAGGTGAGCTTCCAGATGAAGACAGACTAGGAAGAAGGAGTGACAAACTACTTCCAAATATTTAGTTACTGAAAACCTTATGAATAGCAGAGAAACACTGTCAGATATAGTGCCGGAAAATGAGCCCCTCAGGTTGGAAGGCACTCAAAATGTGACTGGAGAACAGCTGCCTCCTCAAAGCAGAGTTGACCATGATGACGCA